TCAGGAGAATACGAAGAGGCCAAGAAATCCTGGGGGAAATGCCTTTCAGCTGAACACATCTATTTCCAAAACAGTCCATCTGGGTCCTGAAAGTCACGGGACCTCAATTATCTCAGCAGGAACACTTCTATCTCTAGATCTATGATTATTACCAAAGACTCATGTTTGTTCTAAAAAATGGTGTGGATATGAGGGTATCTCAGCACCTGAATCCTAAGAAACAGATAATTCTTTAAGATGAAAGAGTCATTTTAAATCCCCATACCTGCTGTGACAGAAGATACTATTTAATTATTTTCCACTAGTTCTTAAAGGTGGAATGCAGTCTAAAGTGCATTTTGGTTTACACTGCTGAACAAAACACTGTGTTTGTGACTAGAAATGATGCAGAGTAGGGAAAATCATTCAGACTGTCAAAAAAACAGTTCTTTTTTGCTGTATGTCTAGACAGTGCTACCTTTGCCCTGCCTCAAATACTAAAGAAATCAATTATAAGACCTCAAGATAATCCCTTAATAATATATGTAAATTAATAACTATATATTTATAAATATATATCTGAGTGCATTTGTTTAAATAATATTTAATGCATATCCTCTATGTTCATGACTCTGTTCTATATATTCTATCTGAGCTGGCTGACAATTAAACACCAATCATGAAATTAATAACTAATTTAGAAATGTAATACAATAAATGCTATAAATAAATATATGATATTTAAAAAGCAAAAATAGCAAAAAGAAGCAAAAGGGGGTTGTTCATCTATGCTGGGATCGGTAGAAGGCTAACTTCTTTAGTCTGAGTTCTAAAGGATTAAAGAGAGTTGGTTAGGGAAGACCAAAGGAGAGAGAAAGAGAGGATGGGATACAAAAGGTCCAAGGCAGGAAGGGGAATGGCATTTTCAAGGAGCAGAAAATAGGCCCATGTGATCAGAACATTGGCTGTCTATGGGCCCATGGTGCACAGCACACCTGGTAGAGAGGCTGGGCCAGGTCACACAGGGTCTTACAGGACTGAGACCAAAAGCTGGTTGTTATCCTCTAAGACGCCTGAATTTTCTAGTTAAGTCAAGCCCAAGCCTGTAAAGCACCTTAAGAAAGAGACATTTTCACATTTGTATTCAAGAAAGATCAACTTGGCTGCTGTGTACAAGCAGGTAGAGAGGCTCCTTAAGGGTCTATGCCATCGTCCTGCGGAGATTGCCTGTCCTGACCTAAAGATATGTTCTCAAAGAACAAAAAGTACAGTGTGGGGATGTGCTTGGCTCATTCTAGAAAACAGCACTTTCATTACTGTCTTCTCTAATGAACCATCACGCTATGAAACCCTTAGGTTCACCAAAATTGAAATTGGTATCAAAGGAAACAAGATGGCCAGCTCTACACAGGTGTGAGCCTCTGTAGATGCCAGGGTGGGTATCTTCTGGCTTTAGGAGCGACATGCATAAATTTCAACCAAAAAAATATTTTGGAAAAACTAAGAACCTAAAATAAAAAGAATAATAAACTCTAAAAATGACTCACAGTCATATTTCCCACTATACATATTAACTAATCATCATAAAACCAAAACATTTTTAATAAAGTTTAATAGTTGTATAATTTTCACAATGACCCTTGTAAGAATTAGCAAAAATAAAATACTCGAGATATTTTTTTCTACTTCAGACTGATATATTAATTATTGTTAACTATTAACCATCCAATTGCATTATACTGAAGTGATCATTTAAACACTCATTAATCAATGAATAATACAAGAACCTCATGCCTTATTAAGCTCTTCTACACTTTTTTTTCAACAAACATAGCTAAATCTTTGCTGGGGGGGGGGGAAATTTAATACATAGCACTCATAGGTGGTTATTCACAATACTATTTAGTATTACTCCTTTAAATTTCAGAATAAAACCTATATTAAAATGACATATGTTCATTGTTTCATGTTTTTTTGTTTCTTTGTTACTATTATTTTAAATATATTTCCTGATTTAGAATATTTTGAAACTGCCAGAAAAATATACTATGTTAAAACAAATATAGCTTCTTTGTTTTATCATCATAATTTTTTAAATCTTTTTTTCAATAGTAAATATTCATGAGAACTTGCATCAGTTAGTTCTCTTTATGGTGTAGAAATAGCCTTAAAGCTGCCTGCCAGAAATTTCACAAAATGCTAAGAGCCACATGGAGCTGCTCTTTCCTGTTTGCTCAGGAGCCCAGGTACATAGATAAAAAACAAAAACAAAATTGCCTTTTCTGCCCTTGGAATCATCTGCTCCTGATTTAGCCATTATCCTTCAGACCAATTTCCTTTCTTTCTATTTCCCTTCACCCATTTTTTCACAATCTTCCTCTAAGGAACAAACTCACAACACAATTTCTCCCAGCAGTGGCCCTGAGCAGGCTTTACCTCAACCTGCTCCCAACTCTCGAGAACCACTGGGAAAAAGAGAGCAGTGAGGTCATTTAGAAGATTGAGATCTCGGAGGAAGTAGATTTTTTTGGAGTATTTAGACAAGTCTGGAAAGCAAGGACACTTTTTTTTTTTATCTGCACTTGCAACACATTAATGCAATACTGAAGATCTGTTCGGTTTTCAAAAACACCCTAGAGATCTGTATGTTCTTTTTTCCTGAGGAATTCAAACCACCAGTTATCAAACTTTCAGCAGTAGAAACCTTTATTCAATCTACTAAGTCTCCACTAGAAGTGGCACTTTAATAGTATATATTAATGTGTATAAGTTCAAAATTGTAATATGTATACCCAATAAACAGAATTGATATATATTTAACAACACAAAATTTTACAATTGAGTGTGATAGGTGACTGCTGCTTCCAAATTTGAATTACTTATGGATTTCATTTTGGTTACAGAGCTATATTTCACAGAGAAATATACCTGATATTGCCATGTTTTCACAAGAGCTCCCCTTAAAATCTCAGAATATTCATCAATGAAACTAATCCAGTAGCTTGAAAGAGGGGTAGTAGAACCTTTATTCAAATTGAAAATGAAATATTAATAACTTACTTGCATTTCTTAAGTAGTAAATATTCCACGTGGATGAAGTCAATGAATAGATAACGCAGTCTATATCTGCTTTGTTTAGCAGAAGGTAGGCTTCAAAGTATATTTTAATTATGATATGTTAAGAATATCATTTTCATTAAAAATCCAAGATATAGCCCGACCGGCATGACTCAGTAGTTGAGCATTGACCTATGAACCAGGAGGTCAAGGTTCAATTCCTGGTCGGGGCACATGCCCAGGTTGCAGGCTCAATCCCTAGTGTGGGGCGTGCAGGGGGCATCTGATCAATGATTCTCTCATCTCTCCCTCTCCCTTCCTCTCTGAAATCAATAATAAAAATATATTTTTTAAAAATCCAGGATATATTGGTAACTTTATGGTTAAAAAATCATTCAAAAGTTCAAAAAATAATTTATTTCAGGCTGACTCCACATTTTATTTCAGTTCCATTGCCGGTTCTTTAACTGCAGTCACTTGCAAGTAACTATAATTAAAGAGCCATTAGGGAACTTAAATGTGATCTATCTTGACCAAATTCAGCTCATTTTGCTTAACAGCACCCAATATAGGTGGATGAGACCTTTCCATTTAACAAAAAACATTAATATTATGGGAAATGGCATTATTTATGATGGGGTGGGTAATATTTGTATAATTCTTGCTAAAGCATCCACTGAGTTTTACCTGTTATGTAACATGTGTACTATAGTAATTGAGACATTTTGTTAAAATCTAAAAAATATTTGTTAAGCAAATTAATGTTATATACTATCTAGTCAATAATACATTGTCTAGAATCGCCAAATATATGCCCAGAGATGGTAGGAAAAATTTCATTTCAAGAATCAATTTGGTAAAATAAATTAACTACATTGGTGATCTTCAGTGTATTCAAATTTGTTAATTCATATGTGTGTATTATTTTAGGGTTATTAAATGATTATTTTTTTAAAGTTAAATTTGAATTAAATAATGATTCCCCCTTAAAGCACACTATGTTGCTAAGGAACACATCTTGAAAACCAATAATGTAAATAAAGCCTAAAAGATGGAAATATCTTGGTTGACAGGAAGCAGACAATAGCTAGTGACCAATAAAGACAGAGAGAGATCCACTAAAATGGAAACATATACAATGCCACTTCCCACTCATCAAAATTGCCATCCTTTCAATGTGAATATGTTTCTCTGCATTCATTCATGCATGTTTTGTTTAATCTAAACAGTGGTTATGTATACTTATTCCAGGCATGTTTTAAAAAGAGAGGACATTGGGGACATTTTATTTGTAAAACCCTTTGAATGGGATAGTGTCAGATATTTAACTGAAAAAATAAATTTTTTAAGAACAGTGTATAATATATAATATGTGTAATGATATGGCACTAGAAAACAGGTGAGCACAACCAGTATTATTGGAACAATGCATCATTGACAGTTATGCCAATAGGTTAATAAGGAGATTTAAGCATTTATAACGCTCTCCTGATCACAGGAAGGTCACACACACATGGTCATTTGTTTACGCCAACTATCACAACTCTATAACTAAACACCAGCAGTGATTGAGGTAGTATTTTATAAATAAGGTAACCATAGGCCACTTACTTTAATAGAAGTGGCCTATGGTTAATGACTACACATGGGACAATGGTGAAATTTCACAAAGGTCTATAGACTACATAGTAGCACTGCACATGTGTTAATTTCTTGATCCTGATGACTGTATTACAGTTATGTAAGTGAATGACCCTGTTCTATAGGAAATATATACAAAGTATTTAGAAATAAAGGAGCACCATGTATGCATATTAATCTCAATGATTTCTTAAAAATAATTACAGAGTGAGAAGAAGAGAATAATAAAGTAAGTGTTGTAAAATGTTAGCTGGGGAATCTGGGTACACAAGAATTCTGAGAACAAGTTGTGCAAATTCTCTGTGACTGAAGTTCTTTCAAAACAGAAACCCTTCCTTCCTATAATGACCAATGACACCCCATTCCACGCCTCGATGGGGGGAGGGCACCCCACGCCCCGAGGGTCCCCGGCAGGGCCGCTGTGTGTAGCATTTATTTAAAGGAAATCATGCAGGTCCCCGGCAGGGCCGCCCCTCCCCACCTCGCGGGCCGCTGTGTGTAGCATTTATTTAAAGGAAATCATGCCGCCATCCGTGCTTCAGCGCTGTCCTCTCTGCACAGCTGAGTATCGGCAAATCCCTTCTCTGTCGGGCATTCCACAAACAATTACACCCAGACACAGAGAAAAAAACCCAGAAAGCTTTAAAAAACCATCTTATAAAACACTGTTTTTTCTCCATGATGATACTCAATAAGCAAAAACTTACTGCAGGGCATTCCGCAAACAATTAAACCCAGACACAGAGAAAAAAAACCCAGAAAGCTTTAAAAAACCATATTATAAAACACTGTTTTCTCTCCATGATGATACTCAATAAGCAAAAACTTACTGCAGACATCTGCAATGCCATTTAAAATTTTGAGAAGAGAAACAAAGCAACAGACATGATACCATCATAGAGATTTTATATGTGTACCTTATTAATGTATGTATATATAATGATATACACACACATAACACACAAGTAAAATGAATACAATGTAAATTAAATACAGATAATCACTTTGAATTATAAATTCATTATAATCCACTTTATTATATTATTTAGACCCAGATTTGTTATTCTCCATAATACATATCTTTAAAAATAATTACGCCCTATCAAGTTCTGATAAAATTTTTGTTTCATTTTAAAATCAAAAATTTCATGCAAGAATTTTTCATACTATACACACCCATATGACTTACTTAAGGATTTATATTTTTCTTCTTTCTAACATGACAAGTTGAAACTCACATCTAAATAGATAAAGGCAAACAGCATGCACTTATTTCACTTTAAAAAGATCTATTTTGAGATAATCTTTAGAAATACACTGAAAAAAATAATGAAGCCATTTGTATGAGTGTAGGGAGAAAAGAAAAATGTGAGAAACAAATTTTTAAGTACAGAGGGTCAGATACATAACACCATCTATAAAATGCTATATACAAAATAGATACAATATTTTAAATGCAGTATGGTCAACAACAGCCTATCTTAACTATCTCTATTGGGTGCTTTGAATAGGACATTTATATGTCTAATATGTATATACTCAAAATGAGGAACTATTTGAGTTTAATGGATAAGTTAAACTGAGTAAAATATAAGATTTTTAAAAAGATAGTCAGAAATACAGGAGCAACAGACATGTGTGGGGCAGGTGCTCATTCTCCCACTGCTGAATGCCTCCTGAACTCAGCCGTTGATCCTCTTTTCTATCCCACTTACCTAGTGATTTCACAGCTTTAAATCATACCTGTTCGCTAATAGCACCCAAATTTATTTCTCCAGTTTGGATCTCTTGCAAACTCTTAAATGGCTTACCCAACTGCTTATTTAACATTTCTATCTGGATTTCTAAAAAGCAACTCAAGCTCTATCTGTCAGAAACTGAACTCCTGCTATCTCCCCACCCCTGTCCCACCAGATCCCTCCTCATCTCAGCAGAGGCAACTCCCAATAATCAGGCCACAAAAACCAAATTCATCTTTGACTCCTCTCTTGCTGTTATAACCCACACCCAATCTGTCAGGAAACCTTGTTAGTCATGTTTTCAAAACATATCCATCATCCAGTGACTTCTTACTATCTCCATTGATACCTTTCCAGTCTAACCCTTTATACGATCATCCGTCACCTGGACTATTTGGATAGCCTCCTAATTTTCTCTCTTTCTGCCCATGCCATCCTACAGACTCTTCTCAACACACACACACACACACACACACACACACACACACACACACACACACCCCTGAATGATGTAATTCAGATCATGTGCTCCTCTGCTTAACAGTCCACACTGGTCTACTCTTTCACTCCAGAGAAAAGCGAAATTTGTTACAAGGATTACAACACTCAATGGCCAGGCTCTCATTGTCTTTTGACTTCATCTCCTAGTGCCTTCCCTTGCTTCCCTCTGTTCCAGCCACAAATGCTCCCTTGAGTATACCCGGCATGGTCCTACCTTGAAAACTTTGTCTTGGATGATAATACCAGCTAAAATATTTTTTCCATAGATAGTCACACAGCCAAATCCTTCACCCTTTGAAATCTTTGCTCATATGACACCTTCACAAAACCATTCTCCTCAAAATTGCAACCCATTTTACCTCCACCCTGGCACTCCAGATCTGCCTTACACCAGTCTACTTTTTCTTTTTCCACAGAATTTGCCACTTTCCAACATGCTATGTAACTTCCTAATTTATTATGTCTATGTTTCAATGCCCATTTCTTCTTTTAAAATTTAAGCTCCAATAGAGAAAGGATCTTTGCTTCCTTCATTTACTGATGATATATATATATATATATATAAAACAATGCCTAGCACATAACAGGCATTCAATAAATATTTGGCAAATTAAATTATGTTGAAAATAAAAGCAAATTTAGTAGGGCTGTGGATGATTAGGTTATTTTTAAATCACTAAATTTGATGCCTTAGAGTTGAATTCAGATGTTTAATGGAAAAATATGTAAAGATTTCTGCCCAGATATTACTCCAAATTGACAGGAGTGGTAAACCCTTGGGTAAACTCCTCTACTGTCTTCTATCAAGGCTCCTGGTAGACCCCTGAGGTCGATAGCCAGAGATGAAGGAGAAGTGAAACAGCAGGGACAGCAACAATCTGCCAGTGACTGGGGGAACACTGCTCTGAGTCAGAATGACCTGGAAATACTGAAAGCATAGGGAGACATTACCTCAGCCCGCTCATACTATACCTTTTACCTTTATTCAGAAAGTTTTATGGAATGACATTTGCAAAATATTAATAATAACCTCTTATTTTCCTGGAAAATGGGCTCTGTTATGGGTTTTTGCTTTTTTTTTTTGTCATTTCTCTAGTATTTGGATTTTTTTCCTACAAATTATTTACAAATTAAAGTTAATGCTTATAAAAAAGAGTTCTTCTAAAAGCTTATATTTCCTTATAAAATAAAACAACACTCTTGAAAAGTAAAATTGAATATATCAAAGGTCTTGTAAGTTCCTTGCATACAATATTGCATATTATAAGGTTTTTAACCAATCCATACTGAAGCACAATGACTTACTAGTACAAGATAAGGGTATAAAAATTCTCAATACTGGGGAGAACTAGAATTATTAGTCATTCCTATCAAATCTGACATCATGAGATTTGACAAATAAATTTCTAATCTTTTTATTATATCTATAAAGGAGCCACAAATGTGCTTCAAAGGAACTGTAGATAGATTTTTCGAAAGAAATTATATATAAGTAATAAAAATAGAAATATTTCCAAACAACAATATTTATCTTTACCTAAAGTGGCATGTCTGGATGATCATAGTGAGAATCGTGTGTAATCTTGCCCAATGTGAAGGGATCTGGGAAAATACCGTCCCAAAATCCCAATCAACATTATTTTATGACTTAGAGGCCATGTTATATAATCATCACATAAATTTTATTCTCAACTTCTCTGTTGATATAAAATTCAATCCATGCTTATTTTTCAAAATATGAGAGAGGAGTACCCAAGCATACACAAAAGGGAAACGTCTAATGGATTTTTTTTTTATAATTAACTGTCCAATTAACTCACTAATAACAAGTGACTAGATGTCTTCAACTCATTAGAAGCTAGTTAACAATTCTTTTATCACTGTCTTGTCAACTAACTGTACAATGGCTCAGCAGAGTCACTTAAATAAATTAATTATGTTTTCAGCATGTTTGCATATTTAAATATGTATGCATAAATTAAATATTTGTAATTTATCGTTATGCTTAAGAGATACTGCTCCTTTTTTATGTTTCCCTTTGGGTTCTCCTCTACCAAATGAGTGACAATTTAGAGAGTTCTGAAGCATTATTTCAACAGTGGCAGAATGTCACAAGCTGCCTAAATAAAGAATGATACAAACAAGAAGGCAGAAATTTAAAAAGTCAAATTACTTTATAGAAGGAAACACTGAAACTGAAGCATATATGGGAATGACCTGTCAGCAGGGGTGGGGAACTCCAGCCCGTGGGCTGTATAAGGCCTGTGAAATCATTTGTTCTGGCCCTGCCAAGGCATTAGGAGTGAGTTAATTAAATGTCTGACCAAATATAGCAGGCTAATTTTTAATCTGATAATTTGGTATAGCCCTTGAATGTTATAACTATCCAAATGTCCCTTGGCAGAAAAAAGGTTCCCCACCCTGTGCTAGAAAGTATAAATGTCCACTGATCCATTTACTGTATTTGAGAGTATCTGGTATTATGTATGGAAAGCTCAACACCAGGCCATATTCTTCTAGACCTCTACCCACTATTCTGGACCTTTATCTCACTCTCTACAACCCATCGGGTGGTCGTAATGATGCAAACTCCCTAAGGCCTTGCACAAGGAAGAAGCCAAGAAACCTCCAAGGTCTGAACCCCCTTAAAGGTCTGAACCACTCCCTCTGAACAACTATCTCCATGGTCAAACTGGAATCATATAAGGCAGCCTACAGTTTGCCATCAAACTACCTCCACTCAGGATGGGAAGATGTTTATATTCAAGTAAGGTTCTTACCTGACCGTTTTCCTTCATTTAAACAGGAAAAGGAAATAACCTCCTCGCTATTCTAGCTGTTGTAATTGGACTGCAGAGAAAATTGAGCTGAGCAAGGAGAATGTTGAATATGATAGAAGGAGGAGGATGTCAGTGAATTTCTTTTATATTTCAATTATTTTTCTCCAACTGTATGTCTATTTCTATTTCTAGCTTCTGTTGCACTAAAGCTATGTCCTGCATGGTATGATGTAGGTAACATTCCGAGATTCCAATGTGCTCAACTAAAGCCTCCTGCAGAATGTTTGCTAATGCCTTCCACTGTTTGGGTAGTAAGGATTGCATGAAGCTCTCTGGTTTCTATGGGAAAACAGGAACTTCCATCAGAAATGCTTCCAGGGAGACTCTTCCTCATTATTCAAAGTCCTCTTCCATGAAGGTTGTTCCTTTCGCCTCCTACCAAATTCCACCCTGACATCCCTTTCCCATACCTACACCTCCCCTCATCCAAAAAGGCCACTCAACCTTGCAACAATATCTTATTTTGCTACCATGGTGTTATTCTAACACTAGTCTTATGTTGTTCTCTCATATTTAACCTCTTTTTTTATTAGTTCAGAAAATGGAAGGAA